GACTGATATTCAGGCATTCATGCTTTGTTTCCACAGTCTACATATTATTTGATCAAGATAAAATGCCCTAATAATTTATAAGGTATCAATAAAACTGTTTTTAAACTAGAACATTATCTCAATGTCCTCTTGGGGTTTCTCGACTGTTATTTCTTCTTGGAATAAGTCTGTTGGCTCTGCCCCAGAAATTTCATTAAATACAGTTAATTTTTCTGGCAAGCTAGTTGCTGTAACATGATGCTTTGATGCCAAGTTGTTATTAAATAAATCATTTTTAAAAATTAAAAAAAATTATTTATTTTCAATATACATTTTATTGAATTTTTGAGCATTTCATACAATACATCTTAATCATATTTAGATTCCTCCCTTCTTTTCTCTTTTTCATTTCAGTGGATAAACCCCAAAGGAGGAACTGCTGTATGAGAAATTAAAAACCGTATCTGGCTTGTAAAACTCCCAAGCAGCCAGCAATTTCACTTGGCTTCTAGGCATCAAATAACAAGACACTTTATTTCATTCAGCCACAAAGATGCACAATAACTTGTCTCTACTTGGTTTCTTCCAATAGGTGATGCGACAAAGTCCAGCTTGTCGTAAGAGCCTCCAAGATGTACCACCTCTGTCTTTGTATGGTCTCTGGCGTGCTCACTCTGACTTGGCTCCACTAAGAAACTCAACTTCTCGGAGCAGACATAGCCGTGGAATGACACAGTGGTGGATGTCACTCACAACCCTTCTCTGCCGCTTCCCTGTTGGTGTGGCTCCTGGCCAGCCTGGGCCGGCTACCACACGGCAGTGTCTCGTGAATGAAAGTTGCAGGACATGGTGAGATGAGCAGTCTTGGCAATGAATTTACTTTGAGTCTGAATTCAGAAGAATTCTGGAGCAAATTTGCCCAGCTTCTCCTTTGTAATAACTGAAAGTTGCTGACACAATTTTCTCAGTTGACAAAAGACAATTCTGGAAAAGGTTCTAATTCTGAAGACAGTTCTAAGTTCAGCATCCCTCAACCCCTAGGTATTCAGTCATTCCAATGCCAATGTTCAATTCACTTTTTCAAAAACTGTCTTGTACAACTTGTGGTATCCTTTTTGACAAGCTGTCTTGGGCTTAAGTGATAGGAATGTGATCACGAGAGTCTCTTTGAGAAATACATCACACTTTTTCAGTGAAAAGGTTCAAAAATTTTGGAAAAAGGCTACTCTCATGCAGGCATAAGCTTTGTTTAAGGGCAGTTTTCTATAAACTATGGGTTGGGGATTTTGGAAGATGAAAACTAGCAAAGTTAGAAGTTCTTTCTTATATTTTTGTTGTTTATTTGAATAATTTAATGTGTATAAGTGTTTTACCTGCATGTATGCAAGTGCACCCATGTTGTGTAAAGCCCACAGCGGCCAGAAAAGGGCGTCGGATCTCCTGGAACTGGAGTTATGCACCATTGTCACCTGCCATGTGGGTGCCGGAAATCAAACCTGGGTCCTCTAGAAGAGCAGCCAGTGCTCTTAACAGCTGAGCCATCTCCAGCCCCTCTTTCTTATGTTTTGAGTCTTTCTACAGCAAGGGGAAAATGTTCCTTATGAACAGTGACAATCAGGAATTGTTTGTGGGTTCTTAATTCCTTACTTGGTTTCTTTTGCTCTCCTGCATATGGTGCCACTAAATTTCAAGGGACTAAGAAATGGCCAATTGCCAGGATTCCTCATCTAGCTAGGCGTTTCACAGAGCAAATATCATTCTCACAGAGCTCAAGAAGGAGCCTACATCTACCTGCTTTTGAAATGTTAAGACAGGAATATAACAGTAAAATGCAGCATAACTTTCGCTTTGGCAAAGTCAGAGCTTTACAGCATAGACTGCTGTACTGCTTTTATTTTCAATTCTATTATTTGAAAAATAGTATTTTTATTTAAAAGTAATAAATTGTGCTGCTGTTTTTAATAGATGCTAATGCTAATAAAATTCTGCTGTATAAACTACAGGTGATTATTTGGCAATGAAAACTTGGCTGGGTTATTAATTTTTATCATATGAAAATAATCTTCATATTTGACTTGGGCTTTATTAGTCTTTATAAGGAGTAAATATAATTTTCCTTTAGAATCTTCTTGTTATCATAGTTTCAAATCAACTAGGTACATTTATTTAAACTAAACTAGTCATTTAAACGATGTGCTTAATTATGAGAAGGTAATTTCACAAGGAATTAGATATCTGAATAAAACAACTTATAAACAAGATATTCAGAGAAGAATTCAAGTCACACAAAATGCTTTATCATGGGCTGAAATGAAGCCCTGGAGACCACGTTCTTCGTGCACACTGCCACCGAGTGGCTGATTCAGTGTGTGAATCATACTAAAATTTTTTCATTAACTGGTTAATGTCAGCTTTAGCCATAGACCATTATCTAACATGCTAGAAAACCCCATGTTGCTCTATTATTTATTACCTGTGGTGTTTGTTAAATTATGGTTATTGCCCCCACAGGAGGCAATTTGGGTGTACAGAAACCCAAATCATCTCTAGTTTGGAAAGATTTTAGATATGGTTTACACATACTGACATAGAAAGTTAGTTATCCTAACAGAAGACACTGTGTTTGAAAAGATGTTTGTTAAGAGTGGCTTCAAATACGAAATGCAGTTTCTTATTTTTTGGGAATAAACAAAAACAAAAACAAAAAAAAAAAAAAAGGAAAATCCAAACCTGCCATAGCTACACTCTTTGGGTTAAAGTAACCAAATACCAGGCTAAATTAACCACATCTACTCCAAAGAACAGGTTTTGGAAATAAAATCTTCTACTCAGTTCTTAGAATTGATGCTGAGTGATCTCCTTTGCTCTTCTCTCTTCCCCTCCAGTGGGGCAAAGCATGTTTGTTATCCTCATGAGAGAACCATTCAGTATATGCTAACTACAGCCTAAGCATATCTTTAGTACTGTCATAGATAACCATGTCATTGAATGATCAAAAAAAAAATGGTAACTAACTTGCCCAATGTCACCTACATAAAGGTTGAAGAATGGAAATTCCCACCCAGTTCTGACATGTAATTTGTGCTGATCATTAATCTCATTAATTAATAACCTCACTTTTGCAGCAGGATAATTGTCAGAGGAGGGGGTAGATAGCGGGCCCTGCCAGCAGTCAGCTCCTCTGGGGGCTGGTCACAGTGTGTTAGTATTGCCCGGCTTCATAGGGCTTTGGATCCTACAACATGTCATTGGGCTAATGCATCTGGTACTGATTATTTGAATCCTCAGCCTAGAGTTATTTTCTCCCTAAACTCAGCTAGTTGCCTTGATCATTTAAGCAATACTTGGTAATTATGGGATACTTGAAAAGTCTAGAACATGGAGAAACATATACAATTTCATAGTTTCACAAACCAGAAACAATCATTTGAAATATTTGTTGAGCTCTGCTTCTCTGGGCCTGGATGACCCGCAGGCCTCTCTCTGACCCACAGGCTTCTCTCTCCTGGGTAAGTGGATTGGGTCCTCCATGCCTTGACTCCCCCAGTTTCACTCACCCTCCCATCTCCCCCTCCGGTCTTTCCTCCCAGCCTGGGTCCTGTCCCATTCCTTGTCTTGGTGCCCCAGACACCTGGGGAACCACCACTACTTCCTGATCCTGTGCATCCAGAGCAACTCGGTTCCTTCTCAGGTCACCAGGGGTGCTCTGGGCCTGGCCCCCGCCCTCATCTCCCTCTGCCTCCCTGGGTTGCACAACCTGCCAGCCTCTTTCCTGGACGCCAGGGCTGACCTCTTCTCTTCCTGGTCCTTTGCATCCAGACCAACCCAGCTCCTCAGTGCAGTCCGAAGGGGCCCTTGGGCCCCCCCACCATCTTCCTTTGCATCTCTGGGTGCTATGGCCACCAGCTGCCCTAGACCAGCATCTTTCCTGGGCCCTGCTCCCAGGCCAGTCCAACCCCCAAATTCCTGAGGCCAAAATCTATCCTGGAGGGATCCAGCCCTTAGGAGAAAGCCTGAGAGCATCTGATTCTGATCTGATTTAGGCCTCTGTGGGAATTCCTAAAAGTAAACCACAAAGACACATAAAGTTCAAAAAAAGAAGCAGAACTAAACTTGAAGGCCCAAGTATCAACCAAGAGTCAGAAACTACAAAAGAAATTCACATGTCAAAATCACAGAGAAAAAACAATAACATGAAAAATCAAAATAAAATATCACCACCAAATACCAATAGTCCTCTAGAGGAATTCAAT